GCTCAACTAGAATAGTAACCAAGGAGATGATTAAACTGGTTTTTCAAGCTCTGTTTGACCTGACAGAGAGGTTACCTTCTAAATAGTGTGTTCTGGAAGTATGATAGCAAAGGTCTTAAACATCCGTGGTGTGGGCCCTTTCATTGTCTGCCCTTCCCCAGGACATGTATGTTAGAACAGTGACAACTGTCTGCTCTATGAGTCAAGTGTTTCCAGTTATGCCAGTAATTAAGAACAGCTTTCCCCTTTATGCCCCGTAGAAGGGGAATTCTAGATAAAAATATATCCCTGAAGCTGCATGACTTCCTTGAAATCTAAAGGTAGCAATCACTTAGCCCTACGTTTTGAGCACCACTTCTATGGCAAGAAGCTGATCCTGCCTCTGAATTTCATTCCAATGTAATTTAGTTTTTACAAAGTGAAGTCTGTATAGTGCGGCTGTTCCAGGTGTCTGTTTTCAGTGATCTGCTCTGACTCCCATAAATTCCAGGGGAAAATGCTTTGGCCTGTTGACCATCAGCAGGTGAACGGTGCTTAAATGTCATATATACTTCTTCTAGTGTAGAAACTGGCTGTGGATGGATGCACAGACGTAGAACAAGCAATTTTTTAGCCATGGCAATCTTGAACTCTCTTCCTAGTTAGTACTTTGATATGACACTGCAGTAGTTCTCCTGTTGATCCAAGTGGTGTGCCAATGTCTGTAAGCATCTGGAGACCTTATAAAAAATAGATGAAGTTTTGGTCGTCTCTGACTTGCAGTGGTGGTATGGTGAAAACGAGGATTGTGCTGAAGTAGAATGGAGGCATCAGAAGCTCTCAGCCATTATGAAGGGGTTCCTTTGCTAAAGGCTTTCAACTATTCCATGATCAGAAATACATACACTAAGGTTCAGAAATATTACACAGTTAAACTTAAAGAAGTGCAGAGCGAGTCAGAAATGCCTAATGATGAGAATTGCTTGGAAATTTGACACAGAATCAAGGGAGAAGTCTGATCATAGGAGAGTAGGTGGCTGGGCATTTGAAGTTAGACTGCATTTTGGGTCACTAATTGAAGACCTGTAGCTGCTAGTAACTTAAAGCTCCACTGAAAAATCAGTTTATGCCCGTTTTGTATAAAACCTGAGTTTCTTCTCTCTCCCCCTCCCTTTCCTTTCTATCTTTTATTTAGGAATAACCTAATTTACTAGAGCGTAATCATGTTTACGTTGTGTCCCTAAGGATTGTGTGAAGTGGGGTCGAAATTTTCTGCTATAGCAGTACATCCATTATGGCTAGGAGTAGCTTTTTAAGTGTCAAAAATGTGTGCTTCACTTAAATTGCTCTTCTGAGAACATAATGTCTTTTATTTCTTATAATTTAGTTAGCTTGTATATTGCTGTGGATTAACAGAATAAGGAGCTTGGCATACCAGCTGCCAGAGATGCTACCAGTCTGTACCCAAGGTGTATGAATGGTAGTTTGTGTTGAATTTGGGACTGATTTAACATGTAGGAGGTGTCCTAAGCAGCTTTCTGTAGGAATATAAACTTATGAACACTACTTGCTGATGATTAGAAAGAGGCAAGGACATGAAACTGGATTAGCTTCTCTTCTTTTAGCTTTCTTTTTTCTGGGGGCAAGGGAGGAAATAAAAGCTTGCTTGGCGACTTGAGCAGGTAGTACTTCTAGCTTGAAAGGAGTTTTCCCAGGCCTCAAATTCAGACAGAGCATTCACTGATAAACACACAGAGTAGATACCTGTGGCTGTATCAGGAGCACAGATGTGCAGAGTGGCATAGCTTCTGCCCTGCTGTATGGGTCACCAGTAGCATTGTCTGGTTTCACTAGGATGCTCTGCCAGAAGAATTTCTGGAGCAGCCGTGCCTGCAGTGTGGGGCTCCGTGGCTTTGCCACTTACGTGCTAGCATTTATTGGAGTCCATTTGCTGCTGACAAATGTGTCTGAAGGTAGTTGGGGTGGGGTTGTGAAGTAGGTGATTATTATTTATGGAGTTGGTACTGGCATGAAAGTTTGGGGAGCCGATTTAATTCTTTCACCAAAACTTTATTGCTGGTTGGCTAGTCCTGAGATTACTTAAGGGATTACTCGCATGCTAAATCATTAATGTCCTTTGCACAGGCTTGAGGGGAAGTACGCAGAAACTCCTTCCTCGTAGAAAGAGCAGAGAGTATTGGCTTATCTTTAACCTTGCTATATCTGTAAGATTAATTTCCTTGTATCACTTTCCAAATCATGAGGTGGTTGTTCTATTTGCATAATATAAATTGACAGCGGTTATAAAACTTGGGCTAAGATCTTCCTGAATTTAGCTCTGTTAAAAATGTATTTGGCGAGGCCCTGTTGATAAGGTAGGACAAAACTCAGCCCTTCCTTTGGAAGGGTGTCCTTGTGCTGTCTGATCTGTAGTGGCTTCAGTCACTCAGGACCCATCCAGAGCTCTAAAGATCACTTTTTCGAATGAAGTTTCAGGCGCTTGTTTTCTGTATTGTTTTTATGCTGGTGGGCATGAGTTTATTCAGAGAACATGATCTCTGTGCAAGAGGAACTTGAACTTCCAAGGCTACCGATGCTTGCTGATGGTTTTCATTCCTTGGTTTTGTATTGTGGTTCCTGCATTAGAAATAAGAGCTATGAGCTGCTGTGACGTCTGTAACTTTTCAATTTTGGCTGTACGCTGTGCATTAAGCAAACAAGCTTTGCTCATATGTAACAACAGTTGAAAGGTCTGTTGCTTTTTTATTGTCAGCTGTTCATGCTGTGAATGAACTTTTTGGCTCAGAGGAGTTTTGGTGCAGTTGGCTGTGCTGTGAGGGGAAGGATTGTGAGCATGCATTTAGACCATAATCCTCAAGGCCATCACTATTGTTAGAAAACTGGCTGCAATTGCATGTTGCTGCAGTGACAAACTGGACATGACCTCAGCACAAGTCTTTTAAAATACAATTTCGTTGTTGTAGTTATAAAACATCCTCTGTGTCATGAGGAGTAAGTTAAAGAATAATCTGAGAACGGTAGATGTGGTATGCAACGTTGTTTTGGAGTATTGGGTAGTGCTGCTAAGCCTTTAAGACTGTAGATTCTTTTAGTTGCCTAAACATGCTTTGGAAAGTTGAAAGTTTGTTTTCTAGCACGAACTTATGCCCCTGCAGGCACTGTTAAGTTAACTGCTTGAGTTACTTTTGTAAGTCTACAGGGCGACAGCCTGAGGCAGAAGTGTGAGGGAAGGAGGGGATGTTTGGTTTGGTACTTGCTTTCAAAAAAGTATCAGTCTCAGTTGCAACTCTGACTTTGAAAGAAAAAATTGGAATGTGAATCAAAAGGAAAAAACATGAGCAAGGCACAGGTTGTTTTTGTGGGGTGTTTGTGGGCAATAAAAACTATGAGCAGAGTGCTAGGAGTGTTGGCTTCTGTATCAACCTGAAGGTGCAGTGATCTTGTAGCTTTTCTAGCAAGAAAGTAAAATTGAAACCCATTTTACTTAAGATCTTTTGGGCTACAGCTTGCTGATGTCTAACATTTTTAGATGTGACAATGTGCTGGGCACCTTATAAATTAGTTGAAATGTGGTAATTCCGTAATGCATCTGTTAACATATTCTTCTTTGGTTGTCCTGTTAAGTTAGAGATCAAAAGAGGAGAATCTAATCAACTGTCTGTTAAATAAGAAATTTTCTCCTGGTCTGCCTTGGTAGCCTCCACTGCTTATAGACATCCACTGGTAGTATCAATGACTGTTGGCAGTGATACCAGAATAAAACCTGGAGAAGGGGACTGATGAATGAAAACACTAGTGTCCCACAGTTGAAAGGACAAAAAAGTACTAAACAGGAGATAAAGGATTGATTACTCCATAGATTGCTCTCTGCTTTAAGAGCTAGCTAATTGTATTTAAATTCCTGAACTGAATGGAAATTTCGGTTTCTGCGTGATGCAGGTAAGGTCCTTAATAAGCAAGAAATAGGTTTTCTGTTTAGGCTTTTGCAGGTATGTAGTTCGTGGTGTTATGTACACATATGTGCCTGCTGTTCTGCTCATGGACTGTGGCAGTGTAAGCAAAATTGACACTTGTGCAGCATCATCTGCAGACCTTGCACACATGGTCCTCCGCTCAGTTAATGTCTATTTTGTATTAAATACTTCAGCTTTACATTGCATTCCTCCTCAGCTTTTAGAGCTGTCTCAACCAGGCAAATGTGGTAAACAACAGAGCTGAAAAGATAAGTTTGCACTTTTCTGTCAGTGGTATGACTGGGCACTTCACCTGCTGTCTTGGATGCTTGGTTTTATCTTGAGAAGCAATGCTTTACTCTGTGCAGCGCTGGCTTGACCTCTTTGCCTTGTCTTGCTCAGATCATGGAGCCGAAGTGGCTACTGTGCGTGACCCTGCTGGCTCTCGGGACTCTTGCTGTTCAGGCACATGATGTGGATAATGACAACGATGGTGATGATGTAGTTGATATCGAGGATGACTTGGATGATGGCATTGAGGAGGTAGAAGAGTCAAAGCCTGAAACGAGCACTCCTCCTCCAACTCCAAAGGTTCGGCATGGAACTTCTTTTAAAACTTGAATTAACTGCTTGTGTTGTGGTTAATATAAGTCTGATCAGAGTTGTCTTTACTTTGCTAATGTTAATATGTTGTGATGTTATTAAAGATATTATCTGGGAGCAGGGCTTGGAATTAAGCCTAGCTGCTTTGTTCCTATTCTCATGTCACCCATGTTCTTCCTGAAAACTTAGATTCACCCTTGAAATCTGTGATGCTGTTATCAGGAGTTAATGCTGATGTTTCCAACTAGATACATATACTTTAGTTTTAGTTGCAGACAGGAGCACAATGGCTTGGCTCCAGCAGCAATATTTACATAACTTCTGTGTTTATGCTGCAAGGGTGTTCCAGGTAAGCAGTACTTGAGTGGAGTGGGGGAATGTAAGCTATATATGCCTGTATTTCTTTAGGGTAGAGAACATGCCTTGAAAGGTGCATAAATGCCTCTCTTCTCCTATAGGTTACCTACAGGCCCCCAGTCCCGACTGGTGAGGTGTATTTTGCAGAGTCCTTTGATAAAGGAACTCTGGATGGGTGAGTATAATCTGAATTCAATATAGCAAATATAAAAATTTTGATGAAAGGCAATGAAACCCTCTCTAGAGCCTGTGTTATTCAAAATTGAATCAAGGGGCTGGGGAGAATTACAGCAGTGACTGTATGAAGCTGGCTGTTAAGGTGCTAAGCTAAACTGGTATTTCTTCAAGTTCTAGTAACAAGGGGGAGGTCAGCCATACATGTATAATGTTTTAATCCTCATCTGACTCTTTACTTTCGTCAGGTAATGTGATGATGGTGAGGTACTACTTTTTTTCTTTTAACAAGAGCAAGACACTGACGCCATGATCCTGTGTTAGGGGTAGAGTGGGAAGTGACAAATGCAGAAAAATTTGCAGGCTTGGGCATAGAACTCCTTGGGGGATCAAGACACTGAGGTGTCGTCATAGGACAGCAAGGGCTATCATCATAAGGGCAGGATTTTTAGTGGGGAAAAAAGAGGATGATTTTTCCAACTGTTGGATGTCTGCCTTCTAGATGGATCCTTTCCAGAGCCAAAAAAGATGATACGGATGATGAGATTGCCAAATATGATGGTGAGTCCAAGCCAGGTTTCAGATGATAGATGTTTCTGATATCTTTTGTTGTATCTGAAGAAGAGGTACAAGTCTTTGTTTTCTGTTTCCCAGTTAAAATATATTCACTGAAGAGAATGAGAGATGTGTTTGTATACTTGGCTAACAATGTCAAGTGTAGTTCTGATTTAGACATAATACCCACTTGGAGATTTTAAAATAATTTTTAGTGAAGATGTTATGCCAATAACTTGATGATCTACCTTATAGGATGTTATTGCAGAATGCTGACTATCTTGTTCAAAATTTGGCTATACAAAGACTGTCCTGAACAAGTTTTGATAACATTCGGTTAATTTCTCTCCAGGTAAATGGGAAGTCCAAGACATGAAAGACACTAAGCTTCCAGGAGACAAAGGGCTTGTATTGGTAACCCGAGCCAAGCATCATGCAATTTCATCCAAACTTTCAAAGCCTTTTGTATTTGATACCAAACCTCTTATTATACAGTAAGTAAAGGATAACTTAGTGTTCTCTTATTTTAAAGGTGACATGACAGTAGGCTGAGGTTAATTCCATAACTGAGCTTTTGTTGACTGGGAGTCTAGATGACACAAGATGCTGTAGCCTATTATTATACTGTTTAAGTAAGAGTAAAATAGCAACCCAGATTCCTGAAGTGGGAAGTTAGGAACAGCATGGGTCCCTCTGAAGCCTGAAAAGTAAAGAAGTCTATGAATACTAGGTAGGCTTGGTAACCTGTCTCAGGACTTCAGCTCACTTGATTTAATTGGAGTAACAAGGTCAGGCAACTGACTTTTATGCTGCTAATTGTGACAGTCCTTGTCCTTTTGGACAAAAGCTGGTCAGTATGTAGGTCAGTGCACTCCTTATGCGGTAAACTGACCCGTTTTCGAGCTGGAGTGGACAGAATGGTAAGGATTCACTTGTTTCCTTCTTCCTTTGTCTTAGTTCATCTGTCATGGAAGATGGCCAGAGCTAGGCAAGCTGTTCATGACTGACGTAGAAGAATCTACTTGCATGCCTGTTAGACTAGCAAGTCAGGGAAAAAAAAATCATTCAGTGAGAACAGTTGAATTGTGGATTGTTACCTACTTTATCAGTTTTCAACAAAGAGTAAGCTAATTCATATTTGCACAAGGTAATAATTGGTCACTTTGCTTTGCATGACTCTTTAGTTTTTGCTCAAAATACAAGGCTAAAAATAAATCCCAGTGGTCATCCACTCCAGCTGCCAGCATTGAGAGAGGATCAAGCATACTTAGCCTATTCCTGACAGAGATATTTTGCCTCTTTCAGACTCCTTGGCGTCCCTAAATATACTCTTGTATGCTTATAACCTTAAAGAGGTTTCTCTTGGGATCCAATTGTTGTCGCTTTGGTAGTCTTGCAAATTGAGTTGTCTGTCTGCTGTAGTAGTTGTGGGGAGAATAATTGGCTTGCCTTAATCTCTGCTGCAGTGTCTTAAATATTGGAAAGCTTTTTCTTCCTCCTTTCTACTTCTACATCATAATCTTCTAGACCAGCACTCATTTCCTTTAATCTTTTCTGTCAAGTTAGGTCTTCTAAATCTTCAATTTTTCTTGTTTCTCGGGTCCTTGTGAATATTTGCGTAGTCCTTAAAGTGCAGTGTGTGTTTTTAATATTCACTGGGCACATGATTTAAAGCAAACAACAAAACAGTCTTACTCTTAATTTGTACTTGAAAATTGTAGTTGTGTATTACAGAAGTAATTTTTCCTCAGGTATAACACGTTCTCTCCTTTTCTGTCCAAAACTAAAATTAGGTATGAAGTAAACTTCCAAAATGGAATAGAGTGTGGTGGAGCCTATGTGAAATTGCTTTCAAAAACCCCTGAATTGAACCTGGTGAGTAATGCCACTGCTTTGAGTATTGGCTGTGAAAGAAAGCTTTTGCACTTTGCTTTTTCCTGAGGAAACCTCTTCAATAAAAGCAGTTGGGTGTATTTAGGGCCTGATCTCCAAAGTAGTTTGCACTCAGCAGTTTTCCACTATTTTCAGTTGGAAAGGGTAAATACTGAAATCTTGTGGCCTCTTGAGTGAAAACTCTGGAGTTCCCTAGTAGCTGAGCAGTTCTAGACCTTTGCTAAAGTCTGCAGTACCTCAGATTTCCATAGGTTCTGGGACCAAAGAGGAGTTATCTCATGAGAGTAGCCAGTGTATGAGCAGAAACCATCTCAGGAATCTCTTGTGCAGCAGGAAGGTTCCATGTTTCATCTAAACCAGACTAATGCAAATAACTAACAATATACCTTGCGTCAATATACCTTTGACATATGAACCCACTTGTGAGTTACTGGGTATGTTTTAAAAAAAAGTCTTGAGAGGTTAGACTGGGTAGAGCCTTGTATGTTCAGCTGCACATGATAGCAATATAGAACCATTTGCTTCATAAATGACCCTTGAATGCATTGTCTTAGAAGTGCGGTCAATGGAAGAGACCATGCAACAACTCCTAAGGATTAAGAATTGTTTTGTCTCCTCTCAATCATGTAGCTACCTGAAGTGGTTTATTCAGACAAAGCTTAACTGCTGGGTCATGCGTAGCCTGTGTGTTTTCTTTAGCCATCTTCCTAGACTTTATTGGAAGTACCTTTTTAAGACTTGTTACCCATCCTTCTCCTTTCCTTCTGCAGTCTTGTTGAAGTTTTGTTAGTAAAGATTCCAAATTATTAAAAAAAAAAGACACCCAAAAGACTACTTGGCTATCTAACCTGTTTCACATGGGTATTGAATTTTAAGGTAACATTAGCAAGAACAAAGACTTGCTTGCAGTGTTCAGTGGTGAGGTTGTTATGTCCAGTTAGCTCTCAGATTGAGACAGTACACTAGTTCCTAAGTGTGTAAACCAAATACAATTTGGCCTGCACTTTTAATGCTGCGTATTTCTTTGTGTGAAAGAAACTCACTGGACTAACTGCTCATTCATTGTTACCAGTAACTGATACATCTATATTAACAGCTTTTAAAATCCTTTATTGTAATATAGAGATATACTTTAACATTGTGGCTGTCACTTAACGCCTGTTTTCTTGGTAACACTCGAATAGCTGTTGTCTTCCATCTAGAAACTAGAGACCGAAGGTGGAAAATCAAGTAGCTGGGATGATTCTGGTGTTTTCTCTAGAGTCTGGTATTCATCACACAAGCTGTAGCATGGGTACTTCACTGACTTGATATCCAAGTTGCGGAATAATTTCTGATCAATTGGGAATTCTTATGTCAGGCAATGACTTAAGTTGTATTTCAAAATAACGGAATGAAGTTTTGCCTTGTTTTTAAAGGATCAGTTCCATGACAAAACTCCATATACGATCATGTTTGGCCCTGACAAATGTGGAGAGGACTATAAATTGCACTTCATCTTCCGACACAAAAACCCCAAGACTGGCAAATACGAGGAGAAGCATGCAAAGCGTCCAGATGCAGACCTGAAGACTTACTTTACTGATAAGAAGACCCATCTTTATACTCTGGGTATGGTGACTGTTAACTGTGCATGTTGATAACTACTACTAGGGTTCCTATAATCACAGAATAGTTTGGATTGGAAGGGACCTTAAAGATCACCTAGTTCCTGAATCGAAAGCTCATAAAATGAGCCAGATGAACAACTGAGTATTTTTTTCAACCCACCATACAACTAAAAACCACTTGAAAGCTCTGAATGCGAAAACTGGTCTTGTTATACAAAGGCTGATTTCTTCCTTGCAAGAAGTCTTGATTCATGTAAAAAAGGTCATGAGACCTTGAACTTAATAGTTAAAGGAGAACTGAATTTCAGAGCAGTTGTGAGTAACTTGATATGCTAAGTATATCCAAAATAATTATCAACATGTATAAACTGCTTGAGTGTTGCCCCCTAGTAATTTGGGGTATACTAGGATTTGGATTTAGGGGGATAGTCTTTTGTCATACTGCTTTCATAGTACCAGACAAACTCAGTGGTTCTTAAAGTACAGTGTCTGCTCTGGTATATTAGCTATGACTAAAATCTTTTGGGAGTACTCAGGAGGATCTCTCTAGCTTTTCCTTCTACAGAGACAGCAATGGATAAAGGAGTGAGATTAAAATGCTGCGAGTCAGTAGTAGGGAGGCTTATTCTTGAGTAGAATGTGAATACGTGCATTCTTACTACTAATGTCACTAATTACACTTCGTCATAAGGAGAAAGGTTCTTAACAATTCTTTAAAATGCTTGTTATCATATATATATATAATGGCTACATCGACTTTTTTTCTTACAGTCTTGAATCCTGATAATAGTTTTGAAATACTGGTTGATCAAACGGTTGTCAACAGTGGGAATTTGCTAAATGATATGTCTCCTCCTGTGAATCCACCCCGAGAGATTGAGGACCCGAATGATCAGAAGCCTGAGGACTGGGATGAGAGACCAAAAATCCCAGACCCAGATGCTGTTAAACCAGATGACTGGTAAGCTGTTGGAGGAGTGGAGTTGTGGGAGGCCTTGGCCTGATAGTTTTGGGATTTTTTGGATTAGGACCAAATTTTCTCAGATGATTTATAGAAGGTTTTGAGTCTCGCCTTTCTAATAAAATCACAATCAGTTTAGGCATGTGCACAGCAGTTTGGTAGACAAAGGCAGACAGGATCCAGATTCTCTGGAAATTACAGTTTAGTGCTCCCGTTACTGTGCTGGCCACAGATAGAGATTCTACTGAAACAGCTATGCTAGCTGTAGCTTTCTTCCTTGACGAGATCAAAAGATGAGCAGCAGAAGGTATAACTGTAAGATGTTTGTAGATTTTTGTGTAGTGCATAGTTACAAGTGACTGAATTATCTGACATCCTAAATCAGAAACTGTTTGCTTTTCAACTTATGCTTTGTGAACCATAGACTCAATTTCAAAATGCATGTCTGCAGCAACCACTAAGATAGGAGATTTGCTGTAACGTACGCTTTCTAGGTTGGTTCTAAAAAATAAGTAGTATTACCTTACAGTTGGTGCCATGACTGTGCTGTGAGACACATGTATAGGTAACAGGTTGCAAGGCAATTCTGTTCTGAAATCATGGTGTTATGCTTCCTATCAGAAGTGAAATTAGCTGGTTGTCTAGATCAGTGGGCTTGTTCAGAGACTGTAGAATCGTGCCTTTGGGTTAAGAACTCTTATCTGTTGTGTGTGTTTAATACGTAATATTCTGCTTTCAAGGGATGAGGATGCTCCTGCAAAGATCGCAGATGAAAATGCTGTGAAACCAGAGGGCTGGCTGGATGATGAGCCAGAATATGTGGCGGACCCTGATGCTGAGAAGCCTGAAGACTGGTAGGTTTGCAGCCTGTTGCAAATGACAGCAGGTATTTCATGGCTCTGGTACTGGCTTTTACAAATAGAAAAAATAGCAGTTCATTGTTGCTTGCTAACAAAGTTCTTAATTCAGGCTATCTTGCTTTAAAAGTAGAGAGCAGAGTTGGTCTGAGGAGTCTTGCGTTCACCTGTGTACTTCTCAGCTCTTCTGTGATTGTAAGCTGAACAGGGCAGGGATGGTCATCTTCCAGTTGTACCATACTGGGAGGGGGTGGCAGGGGAGGCTGTGCTCAGGGACTGGCTTTTATTGAGCTTCTGTGCTTCCGAGCTACTTCTTGAAATCCTCATTCCTTCTGCAGCATCTTTATCTACACACCTATGCTATACAAAGTTTCAGTATCTCCATCTTATGGTAGGAGTTTTAACTTTCCCAGATATTGGACATTGTCTAAGTCTTACTCTGTTTAAAGACAAGGGACGGACTTCAAAACTAAATTTCCCTTTTCAGGGATGAGGATATGGATGGTGAATGGGAGGCACCTCAGATTGCAAATCCTAAATGTGAGACAGCCCCTGGCTGCGGTACCTGGCAGCGACCAATGATTGACAATCCAAACTACAAAGGCAAATGGAAGCCTCCTATGATTGATAATGTGAACTATCAGGTGGGTGTATTCATTGTTTAAACTGCTGGCCAGTGCAGCATTTATTTTACAAAAAGCAGAATGATTTAAATTCAGCAGATGTAATTAAGAATACAAGTACTGTCTTGATTGTATTGTGTTTCAAGTGGACAGATTCAAAGTGCTTTCTTTCTTTGCTTTGCTTTTGGGATTGATTCCCAAAACCTGATGAGTTGCACCCATAGACATTGTAACTAAGTGCAACGAACTGGTCTTTCTCGGAGTTCAAAATGGGCTGAAAGCTAAAAATTGTATTACAGCAGATGAGGCTGAATGTCTTTTGTCTTTCCTAGGGTATATGGAAACCCAGGAAGATCCCAAACCCAGATTTCTTTGAAGACTTGGAACCGTTCAAAATGACTCCCTTCAGTGCTGTGGGACTTGAGCTGTGGTCAATGACTTCTGACATCTTTTTTGACAACTTTATCATCTGTACTGAAAGAGCTGTGGCTGATGATTGGGCCAGTGATGGATGGGGACTGAAAAAGGCAGCAGATGGTGCTGCAGAGGTGAGAAATAAAGATTTAATTGTGTGCTTTTGACTGGAATGGTAGGAGCATTGCTGCTCTTCTCTCCCACAGTCTTTGTCAATATATACCTATAGGTGCCAAGCCTAGGGATTATGATAAACCAGATTGGAACCTCAGTTCCTAATTGTAATATGGTAATGGTTGCTATAAATAGCAGTGAGTACTCACTGCTCTTTTGTGAGGCTTTGCTCTGACAATTGGACTGTTAACTTTAGCCTAATTATTAATTTTGTAAGCTATGGAAAAAGTATTTGTGCAGATTAGCTTTAATTTCTTTGAGGTATGAAATACAATGTTCAAAGTTGCAAAAAGCCTGTTTGAAAATTCTGTAGCCTAAACATAACTGCTGCAACTTGCTGTATGGGATGTTCTTACTTTACAGCCTGGTGTTGTGGGCCAGATGATGGCGTCCCTGGCTTTGGATAGTCTACATCCTCACTGTGGCTTTGCCAGTGTTCCTTGTTGTCCTTTTCTGCTGTTCTGGGAAGGTATGCATGTCCCCTGGTAATAACTAGTATTTGTTTAAATATTTAAAAACAGTTTGAGCAAAATGTGCATTAACATCACAAATAATTGCCTGGGTTTTACCAGTGTTGTGTGTTTGTTTTTTTTTTTAGAAACAGCCAAGTGCTGCAGAATACAAAAAGACTGATGCTCCTCAGCCTGATGTGATGGATGAGGAGAAAGAGGAAGAAAAAGACAAAGGAGACAAGGATGAAGAGGAAGAGGAGGAGGAAGAGGAAGCAAATGAGGAAAAGCTAGGTAGGTAAAGCAGATAATCTTGAAACGGTTTGAGTTTTCTCTCTGATAGAGTAAAAGGACAGGATTGGCAGGCATGAAGTAAACCAAATGGTGAACTGAAGGTAAGTCAGAAATGAGAATGAGGATTTTTTTTTTTAATTTATTTTCCTTAGAAGAGAAGCAGAGAAGTGATGCTGATATAGGGAGTGCTAGTCAAGAGGAGGAGGAAGAGGAGGAGGAAGAAGACAGGAAACCTGCATCAGAGGTAAGAGTGCTTAATATTTGAGGGAAGTCATTTTTTTCCTTAAGCTATGCAGAACAAGTCTTACTAAGGTGTTAAGAGTAAACCTGGCTCATGTGATATTCCCTCCCAGTGTTGGAACTCTGGAAACCTCAATCACCCTGCAGAATAGGAATTGCTGTGGCCAACTTCAGCAGAGCTGGACGCCTTGCTAAAGGCACTGCTGTAGACCCTGTGTTGTGAGAGGAGTGGGATTGTGTGGAATGCAGCGTCTTGAGGCAAAAGGTTTATTCAGCTTTGTATGCAGTCAGGATGTGACCTCTTAAGTGCTCCATGCTGACGTAATGGCTGACTTAAAAATGGGTTGAGTGTTAGTTGAAGTTAAAGGGATTCTCACAGCAGCAGAAGCTGTTGAGTACTCTCAGCAAATAGTGTCATCCACTGTGAAAACAAGAGGATTTGTGTGTTTGAGATGTATAGAAAGGAAAGGTAGTGACAGCAGTAGGTCTTTTCAAAAATTAAATCCTAATGTAGAACAACTGGAAGTAGGTTATTCTCTGTAGGTCTTCTCAAAATTATTTTTAAGGGTATTCTTAGATTTTATTTGCTTGATGTTTACACAAATTTCTTTCTTGCAGGAGGAGGAAACTGTGAATAGATCACCCAGAAACAGAAAGCCAAGGAAAGATTGAAAAAAGTCATAAGAACTTGATCTGTGATTTTTTTTTTTTCAAACATGGTTCTGGGAGAGGACCTTGGACACCTTACATTGAAACTTGGACAAACCTCAAGATTTCACCATCCACAGGTTCCAGTCACACTATCCAATGTAATGGAGTGTCTAGCAGTAAAATATTTGCAATCATCTGTTTTAAAGAACATCATTCCTGTAGAAAGAATGCATTTAATATAATGGGCTGTGGATTTTGGAATGTAACATAACTAACCTTTTCATTTTTGGTTTTAAATACTCTTTTCTGTTTTTAAGTAGATTGGTAGAATTTTTCCAGTCTCAAACCTTGGCTTAATTTAATATATTAATTAGTGAAAATAACAAATGAATCTTGAAAGTGCTAGGTAATAAAAATGCAGTTTTATAACTAGTTTTTTTTACAAATATGTAAATTCTGAAATGCACAGGTGTCTTTATATCCCTTAAAATTTGCTAATTGTTTAAAGAAAAGTTGTCAATGTATTTGACAACACCTCTGCCCTCAAAAGAAAAGAAAACTGGGGGGGCGGGGGGGATGTATGGGGAAACCAGTAGTGAAGCTCTCTAATCGGTCAACTTCATTCTTTTGGGGGGAGGTGGAAGTCAGTCTATAGAATATGCATAGCGTGCATGGCTAAAGCCTTGTTAAGTGTTGACAAGAGATCTAGGATTTGGAGTGGGTCATCTTAATGTGGCATTTAATCCTGCGGACCTTGCAGATAATGGATTTTGGTAGTTCTTGAACTCTTCTTGTAAAGCTTGTTGTTAGGGGTATGTGTTAGACTGCTTCCCCTTTCCCTCTGTTCAGCCACCGATGCTTTCCTTTCTCTGTGACTGTGCAGCTTTGCCTCGGTTGCTGAAGCGCTTCATGTTCAGCTCATCATCAAACTCTATTTGCAAACTCTGTTTTTGTAGCTAGGCCTACTCCTTTCCGGGGTCCAAACACTGGATAGCACAGTGTCCCACATCCTCTCACTGTATCACTGTGTGTCTGCTCCTGTAGAAACGGAGGAGGTAGTCAAGTTGAACTGGGTATTTGCTAAGGAAAAACAACCAACAAACCAAGATGTCAGTATTGTAGGTGGGGAAGGAGCATGTGGAGTATCTTAACTGGTATGTGAAACTGTTTAAGTCTTTCATCTGCTCTTCATGTAACAAATGCATCCTAAATTATATTGTGAATGTTAGGGAGTTCCAATTCCAGCTGAATAAATTTTTTTTAAAGCGTTGAGTCTACCATAGTATACTGTTTCAACACTTTTTTGTGGAATGCAGGTGATCACTCCAAGAGCATACCTCTGAGGGTGAAATCTATGTAACGTCATTACACTGTACCAAATACATTGGCGTTTGGATGTCTATGGATAAACTTTTGCCTTTGTTTAGAGTGGAATTAAATGTCCTGAAATTACTCTTGCACTGAATTTAAACACTCCAGTGTTGTTTGGTTATAGCATAGGTATAGTGGGGGGAATAATTCCCAGGGGTTGGGGAGGGAAGAGTGTTCCAATTACCTTGCAAACAATCTAACCAATTACTAAAAGACTCTTGGGTTTGGGTTTTTTTTTTTGTAAAACATCTTTTGCTGCCTGTCCTTATGTTGTATCCCTTGGTGGTTGTGTTTGAAATACTAGTGATAACAAATGCATAGCAGGATTTATTGATCTTTCTGCAGTGTGCAAATAAACTATTGTAAGCAAGATACTGGAGGTAATTTCAGACTTCTGTTGGGAGCTGTTGCATGTTTAGAATGCCTTTGCCTGTTGAACACCTGGTAAATACTGCTCCTTATTGCAAAAATAGCTTATACTCTGACATGGAAGATGTCATAGCTTAAGCATTGCTACTAGCTTGTTCTCAGGACTGTATTTTTGTCAAGGAGCAGCTGCTATTTATGACTCTCAGTCCTTTGAGATGAAGTGTATGTAAATGGTTTCAATTCAGCTAACATTTTGAGCACAACATAAAAATCTATTAATCTGATGGTTTTTTATCTTAATATGCAAATTGCCTTAAATTCCTGAACAATTCATGTGCATATATGTTCTTTCAAAGCATCAAAACTGAACTTAAGATCTGCTATCAGCTTTTAAATAGTATTATATTAAAGCTAATTGTAAATCTACATTTGCTTCTGCTAAATCTCCTAAAAAGGTCTCCTGTCTGCATGTTACGGCTTTTTTTGATACCATAGTGTATGCTTCTTTAAATAATCACTACAATAAATGAAGACTTTCCAAAATGGATAGACAACTCCAAAGTTACTCTTTATCCTGCTTTTCTGACTTGGGTTGCTCAGTTTAACCTCAGAATCACTCCAATTTTTAAGGCCTTTGAGGAAAAATTAGCAATCTGCTTATCTTGAGTACTTTCAAAGCATAGCTGTGTTTTTGAAGTACTGAAGCTCTACTTGGTTGTAACCTGTTTGGAACTGTTACAAATACTTGAAGGTGTATTTGGGCCTTTTAAGTCTGTGCAGCTTCTGAAAAGGATGCTCTACCTAACCTGAATGTGCTGTGTCTGAAGATGAGGGGGTGGGTTTAGGCTGAGCTGGTAAATCAAAACCAAACCATAGGGGAGGAGGTGCAGGCACGGTCTGAAACGCAAGGTGCTAGAAATTCTGAAAGCAGTTGTTTGGGGTTTGTGTGGTTTGTTTTTTTCTGTCCTGGAGTTGGTGCTGAGTAAAGGGAGTTGATAAGATGCACCTAACCAACTAACCCGTTCCGTGTGGGTGTGATTAGCCTTCCTGGGTCTGGCTAACAGGGAATTACCACAGCGTGTAAAATGCATTGTGAATGTCTAAGATGGACTCCTGGGCCTGAGGAGGGATTCTTGCAAGTGCTGATTGCTAGTAGATGTGCATCTCTGGTTGTCTCTTAGTCGTGTCCCCGGTCCTTCCTCAAAAGCAGTGTTCTGTAGGTTCTGGTCATGTCTGTGGGGCTTGTGACGCCTCTCTCCATCCCTAACTGTTCCCCGGTTAATACCACTATTGCCTCATGGTTTCAAAAAGGTTTTTGTTTTGTTTTCAGGTTTTTTTTGGTTTTGTAGTTTGTTTTTTTTAGTGTTGCTGAGCAAGGACTGTGATTTCCTTTGCAGAAAAGACCTGTCCATTTTAAAAAGGTACCTGTAGATGCAACTTGGAAAAAAAAAATTAATGTAAAACCTAATCAATAAAGAAACTTACATCTGTTTGGCTTGCTTTGTCTAAGTCCTCGCTTGTGGTTGATTCGAAGCGGCTTAGGAAGCACCTTCAGCAAGCGATGGAGAATAGGTGAGGATATTCTGTCCCTGTGAGGTGATCAGCCGTTCTCTTTGCCACAGGACGGCGCGTCCCACTGTTCCAGGGCCAGGCGCGAGGAGAGCTGAGGAAGAAGAGGCTCTGTCGGGCGGAGTTGCGGCGGCAGAGGCTGTCTCTGCCGGGGGCCGGCAGGTGAGCCGGGTCGGGGCGGGCTCCGCTCCAGCGGGCTCCGCCTG